GCTGCTGCTGCTGCTGCTGCAGTCGCTGCTGAGCGCGCGGGCCAGTGTGAAGAGTGTAGAGACCGGAGCCCGGCTCAGCAGCAAAAGTGGCGAGGGGCTGGTAAGAGTCCCCGTCAACACACACCACAGTATCTCCAGAAGGCTCAAACCACACACCCACGTGCTGACTCACGAGGGGTCGCACGCCCACCAAGTTCCGGGAGAACGAGGGGACGTGAAACCCAGTGAGAGACCCAGAAGGAGCAGCCGGACACGGCAAGGTGGTAGTGTGACGCGCGGTGACTGGTCCCGAAGTGGGATCAGCCAGCGCCACAGAAACAGGCGCAGGAAGAGGCGTAAGTGTCGTGCTGTCACGAAAGAAGCAGTGAGAGGCTCCAGAGTCCAGCGTGAACGACAGCGAACCGTCCTCTGAGGTAGCCGCTGGACTAGAGTCTACACAAGAACCTACACTAGCAACAGGCAACTGAGCAAGGCTAGCACCTAAGCTAACAACACCAGAGTAAACAGAGTCAGAAACACTAGAGTCAACAACAGCATACATAGCATGGGGATTACCAATCAGATCAACTAACTGCTCAGCAGACATGCCCCACAGAGCGGAGCCGTAACGCTGAACAAGAGGCAGCCAGTCAGGGGCAGGAGCACCAACCCCGTAGACCAAACGAACCGTGTCAGTGAGCTGAGCAAAGCACTGACCAGGGGGGTGAAACCGGCCACAAGGGTGGCCACGACGAGTGCCTGTCAGAACCTGGTAGGTGCAGGGAGTGTAAGCAGCACCGCGCTGGGTCTGACGCAGCCCCGACCCTGGAGCCAGCTGCTGCCGCTGCTGCTGCTGAGGCTGCTGGGAGGAGAGGGGCTGCTGGTGCTGCAGAAGCTGCTGCTGACGCTGAGCCTGGTACCACGCCGCTGCTCCACCAACCGGGGCAGGAAGTACAGGAGGCGACTGACGAACTCGGGCGTCGCCACCACCAGCAGGCGCAGTGGAGTCACCAGTCACTGCACGAGGCGCCTCTCCAGGCCCTGAACCTCCACCGCCGCCAGGCGCAACGCCACCTCCACTACCTCCGCCTCCACCTCCACTACCACCACCAGAACCGCCTTTCTTGCCACTCCTACCGCGGGACCGCGACGCAGTCGTAACAGCAGCTGCAGTCGCGTCAGTAGCGGCAGTGGCAAGTGAGGCAGTAAAGGTGGGTAACTGCGGGACTGTGCACCCGTGGAAGAGTGGGGGGGGCACAGCACCAGAGGCAGCGGCTACCGAGCGAAGGTTGCTCTCGACGTCCTTGAGTGCAGACTCAAGGACCTCGACGGTGAGCTCACTAGGGTGCTTCAGCAGAAGCGCGTCGCGAACGGAGGCAAGGCGGTCAGGGAGGCTAGTGGCGATGAAATAGATAGTAATCGCCATAGGGGGAGGAAGCAGTGCAAGCTGTGCCTCAGTGCAAGCAGCGCGGTAACTAGCGTCGAGCGAGCGGAGGTGAGCGATCAAGTCAGCAGAGCGCTCAAAAGACGCTAGGTCAGGAAACAGGAACGGGAGGAACAGGCGGCCAAGAGAGACAGCAGCGGGAGTAGAGTAGCGGGCCTTAATCGCAGTGAGGTACTCAGCAGCGGTGCGAACCTGAGTGAAGTGAACCTCCTCAGACTCAGGGAGGAGGCTGCTGAGCGCGATGCAGGCCGCAGCGTCACGTGACGTCCAAGCCGTCTGGTCAGCTCGCTGAGTGGCAAAGCGGGCTCTAGCGGCGTCGTCAGGGGCAGGTCCTAAAGGCGTAGGGTCGGGGGGCGCAGGTAGGGCACCAGTAGCGTGCGCCCAGAGGGTCTCGCCTGCCTGGACCTGACTCTCTAACAGACGGCGAGCACGAAGAAGCCAGACGGAAAAATTAGAGGTCTACCGTCAGCGTCGAAACGAAGGACACGCTGAGTCGCCATAGTGAAAACGAACGCGAACGGAGAGGGAGGGGACAGCAGTAGGTGAGAGGCAAATTAGGGTTCGGCGGTACTCTGGGACAGGGGAGGAGCGGACGCCACAGCGGGCGTGACAGCGGGAGGTAACAGGGGACTAAGCAGCGGGGAACGGGAACGGGCGCAGCGGCGGGCGATGGCAGCGCGTACGGCAGCAGGGGCCAGCAGCGCGCGCAGCGGGCGACGGCAGGGGGCGCAGCGGCGACGCGCGCAGCGGCGGGCGACGACGGCGGGGCCGCGGCGAGGCGCGCAGGGGGCGGGCGACGGCGGCAGGCGCGGCGGCGACGAGCGCGGTCGCGAGCGACAGTGGCGGGCGCTGCGGGACGGGCGACGCGACGGGGGGAGAGGGCGGGAGCGACGGGAGAGGGGAGGGCGACGCGACGGGGGGAAAGGGGCGGGTGCGACGGGACAGGGGGAGGGCGACGCGACGGGGGGAAGGGGCGGGTGCGACGGGACAGGGGGAGGGCGACGCGACGGGGGGAAAGGGGGGGCGCGACTGGACAGGGGGAAGGCGACGCGACGGGGGAAGGAGCGGACGCGACGGGGGGAGCGCGACGCGACAGGGGGAAAGGGACGGGCGCGTCTCGAGGGGGGGGAAGGCGACGCGACGGGGGGGCGGTAACAGCTGGAACGATACGAACGAGAGCGTGGGTCGTTGCTAGGCTCGGTAACAGCTGGAACGATACGAACGAGAGCGTGGCTCGGCGCTAGGCTCGGTAACAACGAGAAGGAGACGAACGAGAGCTAGGATCAGGCTCGGGTGGTACGAACGGAGAACGGCGGAACGGGATCCCACAGGATCCTAACCTAACTGATACCATGTCAGAATGAAGAATGGATGATGCATTGATGTTGGTTGGGGTACATATAGCTAACCCTAAGTTTTGTACCCCCTAAGACAAACCTCACTATAGGCTACAACATTTGACAGCTTTGGTAACTGTTCGCGCCACGGTAACTGTTTGAAAGTTTTCCCACGCTTTGCACTTCGAATTCATCCTGCTTGTAACCGTCTTCGACAACCGCTTGTGTTGCACGGTCTTCGTCCTCGCGGCAGTCATATTCGCGTTACGAGTGTGTTAATCTAGGAATGTTATTTAACAATTCCATATCGTAACAGAACCGGTTATTCTTCGTAGTAGGCACCAATTTGGTGGAAGTCGGCAGGTTTGGTTAACCGATTCCGGCGAAGCCGACTTATGGGGAGCCGACATTAGCGGAGCCGATATCGACGGAGCCTGCTACGGTGAAGCCGACTACATCGAAGCCGGCCACGGCGATGCCGACCACGGCAATACCGTCATAGTGAGGTTGGCGGCCGGTGGCGAGCCTCGGCGGTAGACGAATGTGATCGCCGACATGGCTCCGACCTACGGGCGCTGGCCAATTGGTATCGTATGCGCCGGCTGAACGACCTCTTCTGGTCGACCAAGAAACTGGTCGGCGAAGTTCTGCGGGGATGCGCGAACTTAGCTCGGGGAGGTGTTGGCGAAAGTCGACCCGCGGGATGAGCACCTCGTGCTTGACGACCTGGCATCAGCGCAATGTACGTTTGTGGACAACGTACACGCAACCGCTTACCTGCAAATACTTGGTAGGGACGCACATGTGTGCATATGGATACCTGTGGCTGCAACGCTAGCAGATGCCTTGCTGCAACGTTGGCAAGCCTCATTGGAACGATGCTGTCATGTCGTCATTTCTCGTCGTTGGCAATTTGCCTTTCAGCTACGCTAACACGCCTCTATCTTGCGGTGCTGACAAGCCGCCTTTGTGCTGCGTTGGATGTCGACTTGCTAGATACGTTGCATCATGCTACGTTGGATGTCAACTTAAATGTTCTTTGAACTTTTGGTAGTGAAATTCTTGTCAATATCACCCACGAGCATAACAAAGTTGCACAAGTGCTAGAGAATGCTACGACCAGCCGTACTGCCTGTGAGCTCCCTGGTAGCACACTCGACTCCCATTGTTGAGTGAATCTCCGCAGCAAGCTAGAAAGCCTCGCATACAGTAACTTTCCTATCTGAGCTTACTCTTTTTTATGTGTTGTAAGATCAGGGCGTTATAACGCTTCTCCTCATCGCGCATCATATGCATTGTTGATGCCCACTAAAATGCGGGGACATCCAGACCAGAACCGATGCCCCAGCTGACGTCATTGCCAAGCGGAAGTAGGATGTAAAAAGTGCTATTGCTGCGATGGTTGCTTCGCTGGCTGAATCGAGGAATATTCCAACAAAAGATGCCTTTTTTGCCAAGATGCCATTTTCGGTCGTGCCCGAAGCACGACCTCCTCGCGTGCTATTCGCTCGGGCAACACTAAATGTTGTTCTTTCCAGGATCTGGGACAAACAGCTTCTTATCTGGCGCGTCGCATCTTTAAATAGCGCCTACCTGTCCTGCCACGGATGCATCACGTCAAACAAGCCCCTGCCGCACATTCCACCGCGATGAGGCAAGAAAGAAGTCGGCCCGCCCACCTCCCCCCCTCTTTCCCCCTCCCCTCGTCACGCGCTACCTAAACTGATCCACCAGCACAGCACTACCCTGGTTTGCTAGGAATCTAGATCCCACTTGAAGGCCCGTTGCTGCTGAAAACCCCAGCCGACTCGAGCAGCGATGACGTCTTGCACGGCTCGCTTGAAGGCCGCCAAAGCATCAGCCAATGCCAAGTCAAGGAGGCCGTTCCAAGAAGCTTGGCGGCCCCAGGTTGTTGTGGTTTCTAGGAGGCGTCGCACAAGCATCGGGAGCTGTAGCGACTTGATGCAGTATGCGATCAGCCGAAATTTGATGATGTTGCAGCAGGAAGCCGCGTATGAACTCGGGACAGAGTCCTTTCGCGGGCTCTTCAATCGTCTCGTCTCGTCGTCGTAGCACCTGACCATAAGTGCTTTTCGGAGTAGGCATGTTGATGCCATAGTTCGAATGATCGAATGACCTTCAGATTCTCATTCGCCTGTGTCTACTCCCGCACACTTCCTCGGTGAGAACGTTCGAACCGCAAACGAAATTCATGCGAGTAGGCAGCTAATCCAGACGCCATGAGGACCCAGCGCAGCCAGTCGAGTAGCACTTCTCGTGTTAGCCACTCGGGTAGCGGCCACTCTGGTAGCGGCCACTCGGGTAGCGGTCACTTTAGTAGCCACTCGAAGTCGAAGCCCCGCTTGGTTGGTCGGTACGAGCTAGGATGCACTCTAGGCCAGGGCAGCTTCGCTAAAGTGAAACTCGCTAGAGACGTGAAGACGCTGCAGCAAGTGGCGATCAAGGTGATGGAGAAGGAGAAGATTCTCCAGCGCAACATGGCCGACCAGGTACACTCTCCCGTCCAGGAACCAGAAATCTTGGAATTCCCGCGTTTCGCCACTGCTGGCACCCTCCGCCATCGGCTGCAGGCGCGCTTGGAAACCTTGTCGGGAGAGCTGTTTCTGTGAATTTCGCTCTCGGGTCGTCGAACGTAATCCTCCCCCCTCCTCCTCTCCCCGACCACAATTTCCTTCCACCGCCACCCGACTAATGACAGTATTTCCATGCTGCGCGCTCCTGAATGGGTTGGCGCAGATAAAGCGCGAGATCGCGGTGATGAAGATGGTGCGCCACCCGCACGTCGTGCGCCTCATCGAGGTGCGCCTCCTCCGCGCTGCTTTCCCCCCATTCCCCTCCGCTGCCTCATTCTCATCAAATTCGGAACCCGCGTCCCCATTCTCATGTTCATCCATCTCTGCAACCCCCCTTCACCTTCGCTCTATCGCCCTCCATCCAATGCCACCCTCATTCTCTCGTTTTCGTCGCCCATCGTGATCGTGTCGTCGTCGCATGTGTCGCATCCCTGCGTGCAGGTGATGGCGTCGCAGAGCAAGATCTACATGGTGCTCGAACTCGCCGCCGGCGGGCAGCTCTTCGACCGCATCGTGAGTCGCGCGCGCTGTGCTGAACGCCGGATGGTCACGTAGCTTCGGTTGAAGCTGCTTGTGCTCATGGCCGCCCACCTTTACGCGCTCAATTCTCCCCTATCTCTCTTCCTCCACCACCTCTTTCTCCTCCTCTTTCTCCTTTTTCTCTTTCTCCTCCTCCTCGTTCTCCTCCTCTTTCTCTTTCTCCTCCTCTTTCTCCTCCTCGTTCTCCGCCTCTTTCTCCTCCTCTTTCTCCTCTTTCTCCTCTTCTGCTTCCTCCTCTATTTCCTCTTTCTCTTCTCTCTCCTCCTCTTTCTCCTCTTCTGTTTCCTCCTCTATATCCTCTTTCTCCTCTTCTTTCTCCTCCTCCTCCTCCTCCTCCTCCTCCTCCTCCTCCTCCTCCTCCTCCTCCTCCTCCTCCTCCTCCTCCTCCTCCTCCTCCTCCTCCTCCTCCTCCTCCTCCTCCTCCTCTCCTCCTCCTCTCCTCCTCCTCTCCTCCTCTCTCCTCCTCCTCCTCCTCCTCCTCCTCCTCCTCCTCCTCCTCCTCCTCCTCCTCCTCCTCCTCCTCCTCCTCCTCCTCCTCCTCCTCCTCCTCCTCCTCCTCCTCCTCCTCCTCCTCCTCCTCCTCCTCCTCCTCCTCCTCCTCCTCCTCTCCTCTCCCACGTCCACGTCCTTCTCTCCTGCAACCTCACCTCTCGTCGTCTCACGCCTCTCCTCCCGCGGCCTATCTCCTTTTGCCCTCATCGCGGTGCTCCCTCTCAGGTGCACCGCGGGCGGCTTTCCGAAAGCGAGGCGCGGCGGTATTTCCAGCAGCTCGTGGACGCCGTCGACTGCTGCCACGCCAAGGGCGTCTGCCACCGCGACCTCAAGGTATTATTTAAATCAACACTTTCCCATCCCCCCCTCTTTTTTCTCCCATATTTTCTTCTGAGGTTTTGTTTGTTTTTCCAATTCCTTCTTTCTCGTCGCCTGTTGCACCACTTGCACCGCACGATCTCACCTCATTCTCCTGCTCCCTCTCGTCCCACCCGGTGCGTGGCGTGGGCATCAGCCGGAGAACATGCTTCTGGACGAGCGCGGCAATCTCAAGGTCTCTGATTTTGGCCTCAGCGCCCTGCCGCAGCAGCAGCACCGCGACGGGCTGCTGCACACCACCTGCGGCACGCCCAACTACGTCGCCCCTGAGGTGCGCCCCTCCGCCCCTCCGCCCCTCCGCCCCTCCGCCCCTCCGCCCCTCCGCCCCTCCGCCCCTCCGCCCCTCTGCCTCACGCCTTGAGTGCTGCTCTTCTCCTTTGCTTGACGTTGCACCACCAGCACTCTTCATACTCCCCATCAGCCCTTTCACCCGTCCGCCACGTCCTAGGCTTTGCTCGCTACCACGCTTACCTCTTTACGTGTATCGCACCCGCACCTGCTCATAAGCTGCCCTGCAACGCTGCTCATCCGCTCTCCTCCTCATCCACTCTCTCCTCCTCATCCTCTCTCTCCTTCTCATCCTCTCTCTCCTCCTCATCCTCTCTCTCTCCTCCTCATCCTCTCTCTCCTCCTCATCCTCTCTCTCCTCCTCATCCTCTCTCTCCTCCTCATCCTCTCTCCTCCTCATCCTCTCTCTCCTGCTCATCCCCTCCTCTCCTGCTCATCCCCTCCTCTCGTGCTCATCCCCTCCTCTCCTGCTCATCCCCTCCTCTCCTGCTCATCCCCTCCTCTCCTGCTCATCCCCTCCTCTCCTGCTCATCCTCTCTCTCCTGCTCATCCGCTCCTCTCCCGCTCCTTCCCACCAGGTGCTGTGCGAAAATGGCTACGACGGGCGGAAGGCGGACGTGTGGTCGTGCGGGGTGATCCTATTCGTGCTGCTGGCGGGCTACGCGCCCTTCCAGGACAGCGACCTGCGCCCGCTCTACCGCAAGATCCGCCACGCGCTCTTCTCCTTCCCCGCCTGCGTCTCGCCCTCCGCGCGCGCCCTCATCTCCGCCATCCTGCAGCCCGACCCCGCAAAGGTGCGCCGCACGTGCCGTGGCTTTGCATTCGGTTTTAAATGATCTGAATTTGGTTATTTCTCGTGGTGCTCTCGTCCCTGCTGGATTCTTGGTGTTGTGGATGATGCCTTGACCTGTGTCCCTTTCTCCTCTTTCTCTCACAGTCGCCCACACTCACACTCCCTCACTCACTCACTCACTCGTGTACTCTCCTCTCCTTCGTCCTCCCCTCCGCTCCTCCAAACCAGCGTTTGACGATGGAGGGAATAAGGCAGCACGCGTGGTTCAAGCCGGGCTACATCCCGGCACAGCCCAGCCCTGAAGCTGCCGTGCACACATGCGACATCGACACCGTATTCTCGCACCATCACCTGCTCGGCCTCACCGCGCCCACCACACAACCGCTCTCTGCGCTACCCCTCTCTAACATTCCGGCGTCGCTGCCTGCGCCGCCGCCCTCCCAGTGCGGGGCGGACCTTCGGATCACGGCCGTGGAGTCGCTGCTGCGCTCCGCGTCTCCTCCTCTCCCCTCGCCCTCCTCCGATGCCAGCACCGCCCCCTCCTCCGCGCTCTCCGCTGGCCCCGGCCACTCTCTGCGCTCGCCGCGTGAACTCAGCTGCTCCATCAGCCGCGGCAGCGACAGCAGCAGCGACAGCAACAGTGGAAGCGGCAGCGGCAGTGGTAATGATGGCACGCCGTTAGTCAGCCCTTGCTCTGCTCCCTCTGCTGCTGCTGCTGCAGCTGACTACCCTCTTCCCACTCTGCCCTCCCCCTCCTGCTCCTCCTGCAGACTTAACGCTTTGGGGAGCGAAGGGAGAAGAGGGGTCGGGTGTGAGGGGCATGGGAGCGAAGGGGGCGAAGGGGAGAGGGCAGAAGGTAGAGGAATGAAGGAGGGAGGGGCGGGTGCAGCAGCGGCGGCGGAGGAGAGTCCGGAGCTGATGAACGCGTTTGACCTGATAGCACGCGCGCATGCGCTGGACTTGGGAGCCCTTTTCCACCGCCGTGCCGACCCGGTTCTGCGCCAAACCCGCTTCACCTCGCGCCTGCCGCCCGCCCTCATCCGCTCCCGCCTCCTCGCGCTTGCACCCGCCCTGCACGCTGATGCGCACGCCAAGCTTTTCAAGATCCGATTCTCCCGCCCCGCAACGAAGAATGGCCAAGAGCTCTCCGTGGTGATCCAGGTAATGCCCGCCCTGCACACACATGCAGTACATGCCGTTTCTCACCTATGGCCTCTTCGCGTCTGCTCTTGTTGCCCAGCCCTCGCTGCGAGCGAGCAGTGTTAAAACTTCCAACCGCCCAGGTGTTCCTATGCTGCAAAGTCGTTTTCGCCTCAGGCTCAGGCTCAGGCTCGCGCCATGCCGACTTGACTAGTGCTGGTACCGCACCGTCCGTTTGTTGATGTTATCGCTGGATCCGGCATGGTTGTGCTCTGTGCTCGTGGCACTGCAGATATTTGAGATGACAGCAGGGGTGTTCATGGTGGAAGCACGCAAGGCTGCTGGCGACACCCTCGAGTACCACAAGGTGAGCATAATCCCCATCATCCGTTCTCCCCTTCCCCTCTTATTCCCTCGAGTACCACAAGGTCAGTGCAGCAGCCCACCCCAGTCCTACTTTCTCGCTCTCCCTACCCTCCGTCGGCCTCCATGCATTCGCATGTGTTTTCTCCACACTGGCACTCGCTCCTCACTAGTGTCTAACCATGTCACTCGCCCTCTCCCTGCACCCTCTCTCCCACACCACCAGTTCTACCGTGCACTGCTGGCACGCGTCTCAGACATGGTCTGCCACGACACCACACCCACGCCCCTTCCCTCCATCGCCCCGCCCCTCCCCACTGCTCCTCTCGCCACTGCTCCTCTCGCTCCTGCAACCCTCCCATCCTCGCCTCCCGACCCTGCCACCTGCGCCTGTGCACCATCACCCGGCGTGTCTAGCAAACCAGGCGTGCAGCAGGACGTAAAGCCGGGTGTTGCAAGGGAAGAGGCGGAGCAGCTGATGCGGCCACAGCAGGTTCAGCCACCCCATAGGCGGACGTCTCTGGACGAGGGCCGCATCGCCACCATGCAGGCATGTGGCAGCGGTGATGGCGAGCGAGCCAGGAGGAAATCCATGGACGCGACCAGCCTGCCAGTCGCAGATATGGCAGCAAGAACAGTAGCGGCGGCGGCAGCGGCGGAGGCAACAAGGAGAGATGAGGCGGTGAGATCTCCTGCCAAGGCCAGGTCGTTGGATTTTTGGCCTGGATCGCTCATGTCATCGGTGCTGCAGTCGCCCCTCTTCAAGGCGCGCTCTGCATCTCCCTCCAGCCCTTCATGCACCCCTCTGGGCAACGACCCTCCTGCCCTGAGCCTGACACAGCTGCACAGCTGCACAGCTGCTCCTGCTCCTGCTCTGGCCCCATGTGCCACTGTCGGGCTGCAGTGAGATGCAGTGTGGACAGGAGTGGAGGTGGTGATGGCAGGGGTGAGTCCTGTGAGACGGAGGCAGTGCTAATGCAGCAGGTGATGTGAAAACTGGTGCATCAGCTGCAACTGGAGCAGCAACAGAGACTCTGCTGCATACGATTCTATTGCTTTGTTCATTTCGTCTCTTATGTATTATATTATTATACAAATGCATTTTCCACATCCAAGTTCTGAAGTGCAGCAAGCTGAGGCCTGTGTACAATCCCTGTGTTACGGCAGTCAACGCTCTGAACTGTAAAACTGCTGTACTAATAACGAAGGTCCCTCACTACTGGGAGTGAGGGAAGCTTGCTACTGTAGTCTTCTTGTGTACAAACGATCTCGAGCCCCCCGTACTTGCCTTAGAGCGTGTTACACCCAAGCAAAGATTGCTGCATTTTGAGGCTCACGCAGGCGATCCTTACGGAACAGTGTCATACCTACCATTGTACAGTGATCACTGAGTCAGGTTAGCCAACAGAGGAAGGATCGAAATCACGAGTTCCTTTTGCTACCCGTTCTTGGTGTTTTCTGAGAGATCATGGTGACTGCCAATCTCTCGGTGATCCTTGCATCTTTGTACCAAAGACAGGGTCCCTTGACGACGAAACACTTAATCTCGCAAATTGCTGTAACAACGTCGCGACTAATCGGAGCATTCTTTTGATGGATTTCGAACCAATGAGGCTGTTGATTTCGGGTCAGTAACGCAGTCAACATGGTCAATGAAAATATCAATGATCGCGACTGTCGCGTCGTTTCAGGCGACGTCGCCTGGTCGCAGAGGATCACCATTGCAAATTTGCAGATGGTACACCAACAAGGTTCGTGATGTGCCCCAAAAACATGTTGTTTGGCCACTCGTAATCCTAAGGTTGTGGTGTTGGTGATCTCAGCTACGTGATCGTTGAAAATAGGGCAGGTGTAACACGCTCTTACCCTTTGGGCGTGTAGGTGTTTCTTGCATTTCGCGGAGGTTTCGTGATGTCGCAGCTAGCAAAACGGGCTTATAAAAAATATTGTAACTACCCGTTGACTTTTTGACTTCAGTCCCTGCAAAATTCGACTTCAGTCACTTCGTTACCATTGGTTCATAACCAGTGCAACTTGTTTGGGGAGCTTGTAAACAGGGTGCAACTTCCCGTCACCAATTGTTCGTGGGCAGAGTTTTGACAGGAGACGGATAAAATTCGCGCGCAGCAGGTGAGCATCGTGTGTAGTACCAGTACGGTATCTAGGGTTTGCAAGAATGCATTTGAATGCCAACACCACTTCTTTTACCTCGCTGAACCGTTTACGACTGTCGACTGTTATGATAGATTGGGATCTTGGGGTTGGTGGATTGAGTGCTGCTTCTCGACGCCGCGCAGCACAAACATGTCAACTTGTTCGTTGGTCTGCCAAACGACTGGTGTGGGTACTGTATCCTTCCTTCTCAGTCAAACTTTCATGTTTGACCAAAATTAGAATTTCCGTATCAAACTACAGAGAGTTATATATGTTTTACACAAAGTGGAACCCTGATTTGCATAAAACAAAATATTGGTATTCTGTGACTGGAAAAATAAAAGTTGTCATCTGACCCTGATTGTCATTTTCTGCGTTGTTTTGGAGCTCATAGCAACAACACAGCAATGCCAAACAGACCAAGAGAGGACGGAAAGAAACCGCCAACGCGCCTCACTCCCAGCGTGTTTTTAGCTCAAGATTACGGCGCTTAGCTGTTCTGCTTGAAATGTTGCTGGAGACCTTAAGAGTGGTGGACAAAGCAAAAACCGCCACTGTACTCGTACAAATTCTTCAAAGTCAGTGGCAAACGTCGTTCGGAACCGAAACTCTTGAAATGGAATGACAGTTGTCTTACACACGATGCCCGTTTGACTAACCCAAGGTTGCCTTGTGAAGAGGGCTCTTAAGTGATTCTTGCATTTCGCTAAGCTTTCGTCAATTCGCACTTAGCAAAAAGGGCTTTTAAAAGATTTTGTAACTCGCTGTTGACCGTTTGACATGGGTCTCTTCTGTCAAACTTCGGTTTTTGTGGTTCGTATTGCTCGAGGTGCTTGTAAATGGGGTGCAACTGGCTGGTACCCTAATACACGGGTGCAGAGTTCCATCTTGGCAAGGGCAAATTTGCGTGCAGGGGTTGGGCATCTTGTGTATCTGCCCGGCTGCTCCTGTGGTCTTCCGCAGCTGATGTGGCATTCGCCATGCTGTGCTTATGGCCCATGGCCCATGGGGGAGACAACCGTACGGTTGTGCTGTGATTCGTGGCTGGCAGACACCAGCCGCGCGGGAATGCTTGTTTGTTGGTTTCGCTTGCTGGGGCCATGCCATGCCGCATGCGCTGCGCAGAGCGGTGGGAAAAGAGGGGGGGGGGGTGGGGATACCGAGAGAGGTTGAGTGGAGTGGGGTGGGGTTCAGACACATGCGCACCAGCCAGGAGGTTGGCTTGGGGTGCGTTGACTCGGCTCATCTTTCGTTTCACGTGCGGACGGATGGAGTGTGAAATCCAAACTGGCACGCTCCATTCTTTCAAGGTTTAGTGCGATATGTGTTCTTTCAATGTGGTGAAAAACGGTGTTCAGCAAGGTTCCGTAACCGCAGGACATTCTGTGCGCTCCAAGCAGGTTGTGTCTTGGCGCTGAATTGGGTGGGGTGGGGAGGAGCAGCGTGAAAAAGCCCTGGAGTTCAGCCCACCCAACAGCCAGCGGGTCAATTTTCCCCCGTTCGCTCTCAGCGCAGCTTCCGCTTTTTCTAATGGTAAACGTACGATTTGCGCAAGCGACTAATCTTCACCTTCCATATTGCTGGGCGCAGGGCCCAGGGAGCAGCTCAAACAGCGCAGTTGCAGCTCTGCCTCTCCTCCAGCCACTACACGATCCCACGCCATCCCATCCCACTCCATCCCCGAGTGAAATGCCCCCAGCAAAAAGACTTTCCGCTTGTCTTTCGCATCCAACCCATCCCTCCCTGGCCTCTGGCTGTTCTTGTCTTTCTCCTCAGAGTTCACATAGTGCAGGTTGTTCCTCCTCGCCTGTCCCAGCAGCACCTGTAGCCTATTCTAGAAGGACGAGCTTGAAGCGTCGTGCGCTGCACATGTGTCATCCGCGCATAGGAGCATCGCATTCCTCTCCCACGTTCGAAACGGGCTCATTGCTGGTTCCGTCGACATTCCTTGAGACCGCCTTCCACAGGCATCACATTCGACTATTACCACTACATCAGCAATAGTAAGATTGTTCCAGCCATATCCAAACTCTGTAGAGTCTTCTTTTTGTACACATTATAGATTGTGTGCACCTCACGTCAGGAGCGTGCACCACATTCCGCCGACCGCTGCATGGGGAGCGACGGCTCCGCCGAACCGACATCCCGCCACATTCCCCCCAGCGAACCCGACCAGCTACGCGCTATTTCGTCCGCCCCTTCCGCCTCCTCCGCCATGGCTTCCGCCCACACCGCCTGCCCGCGCCCCGCGCCCGTCGACGAGCGCGCAGCCGCGCGCGTCAACTCCACGGGTTCGCCCGGCGGTAGTCGCAGCCCCTCGTGGAAGCTCAAGGGGAACATCTTGAGTAAGGCGCTGCGGAGCTTGCAGGGCCGCGGGAAGCAGAAACCGCAATCGACGCTCGCCGTCGAGAGCGACTCGATGGAATCCAACGGTCAACAATGCAGCCGCAGCGAGCGGATGGACGAGTCGCAGCTAGCGGCGCTGCCGCGGCCGCAGCTCGCGCGGTCGCTGTCGCACGGGAGTCGCGAGAAGACGCGCCTCGGCCTGCCGGCACAGCAGCAGGCCAGCGTGCCGGCGAGCCCTTTCCACCTCGACAGCGGCGCGGTCAGCCCGGTTTTAGGGCCGACAGCATCGGCGCCGACCCCGATGAGTCCCGCGCCGCATATGGCGGAGATGCATCTGATGGACATGGACATGCCGATGCTGGCGCAAGCGGCGCTCGCGCACTCGCTGGCGCAGCATCCCGCGAGCTCGGGGAGCGAAGCGTCGCCGTCGAGGCGGGCGGAGGCGGAGGCTGCGGGGTGCGCCGCTCCGGGGGAATGGCCGCCTAGCGGGTGGCCACAGGCGAACGGCGGAGAGGCGGCGGGCAGCGGAAGTGGCGCGCACGGCGGAAGCGCACGGCGGAGCAATGCGACAGCGGGCGAAGGAACTTCAGTAAGAAGGGGGGAAGGAAGTGTGCTTGTGCGCTCACGCATTTTCACTCACCGCCGTTTCACTCACCGCCCTCAGCACCTTATACTTGCCCGAATCCCCTTCCCTCTCTTCCGCGCCGCCGCGCGGCCCCCCCTCCTCCTCCTCTCCCCCATTCCCCAACCCTAACAGCAGTCGCGGTCCATCCCGCCCATCCCCACCCCTCCCGCGCCCCTCTCTCCGCTCAACATGCCCCTGGCGGGCGCGCCGGTTCCCCCAAGGGAGTCCCGCTCCGCCCACCGCAGCAGATCGCGGGAGAAGGCGCGGGGGCACGGGGGACACGGCGCGCACGGGGGGAGGCAGTGCCAGCGCAGCATGAGTCACGACGAGGGGCAGCTGAACGGGTGGGCGGGGGAAGAGGGGAGGGAAGGGGGGGAGGACGAAGAGGAGGATGAGGAGGAGGGGGAGTGGGGGGAGGCGGAGGAGCAGCTGCGCGAGAAGCTGGCGCGCATAGAGGAGAAGCTGGCGCGGCTGCGTGCGAAGCGGCAGCAGTACGTGGCGCGGCTGCAGCGCGTGCAGGCCAAGAAGGAGAAGGTCGCCGGCCCCATCCAACAGTGGCTCCGCCCCCCCCCGCGCCTCCAGCAGTAGGCGCGGGGGGGGTGGGGGAGGAGACGGGGGGGCGCGGGAAGGATGAAAGGGGAAGGGGGTGGGAAGAGGCGGCCGCAGCGCGTGCAGGCCAAGAAGTAGAAGGTCGCCGGGCCCATCCAACAGTGGCTCCGCCCCCCCCCCCCCCCCCGCGCCTGCAGCAGTAGAGGGGGAAAGGGGGAGAGAGGGGGAGAGGGGAGGGGAAAAAGGGAGAGTAGGGGCAGGGGGAGGGAGGGAAGGCGGAAGGAGGAGGGGTGAGGATGCGGTGCAGGAGAGGGAGGGAGCTGGGCATTGAGAGGGCTGAGTCCTGCAGCAGAGAGAGGGGTTGTCCCCTCCTCTCTGTTGTGGTGCTGTGGGTGCATTGCCTCCCAATGCACTCGTGTCTCCTGCCTCTCTGCCACTCTGCATCCTCCACTGCTCAACTGCTGCCCCCCCCTTCTCTCAGGATAACACAAATGCCATTCGCTCATTAGATGTTGATCCCCAGTGTGGCAATGGAAAATACTCACCAGACCTGGGGGTGCATGTGAAGACTATGGGGGCTATCGCTCATTAGCCGTGCCATGCACCCTGCCTGGGTGGTGCGCTGTGCAATGTGCACCATCTCATCCCTTGTGAGCCGCCAGAGCTCTGGGCCGTGCTGGGCGATGTTGTACCTCTGTACCATATGTGTGTGTGATCATAGAGTAGCAATGCAGCTGTTAATCCAGTGTACCTACTTCTTCATGGTACATGACTTACAACTGCTCTGCTCTCCCACTGCCAAGGTTGGGGTGACTCCTCACTCACCCTTGCTGCCATCCGTCACCCGCTTGTGACTTTTCTTGCATCTCATCCAGATGGAGGTTGAACGGTAATTTTGTAAAGCCAAATTCGAACTTGATTCCAAGAGCCATAAGCACTACGGAAGTGTTTCGAAAATATTTCGCATGCTGCTCTCGCTACAAACCTCGAGGTCCCTGGTATCAAGGGATTGAATGTTTCCGAATCCAATACAGTTCATGGATCAGGTACACCTTTGCGCCGTTGGATCGATTTGATCCTGTGGTGTAAGATACATGGACAGTTTTCCCGCCATCACTTCAATGGGGGGCCTCCCGCACGAAGACTCCAGATTCCAGAACCACTTCAACAAGGCAGTTTTCGTGCAAGCAAACAAATATCTCTTCGCCAACATCCAGCCTCACGAAACTCACGCGCGAAATAATCCGCCTTGTTTCGGCAAACTAGTTGGCGAAGGGAATTGGCGCTCAACTTGACCCTCGGCTGCGACAATGATCATGCGCGTTGACGAAACCCAGTTTTCAGTCACTAATGCATTCGCCACTTCGCAAGAACCTGAGTGTGCCTTCTCCTTCTAGCGGACCATGATTCTACAGCTCCTCTGTTGCTTCTCTCTACCGCCGTTTGTGTCAGAGCCAGCCCAGAATCTTAGTTTCCCTCCAACTCATCGCCTTGCATCCTCCTCCTTAGCACTAGAGCGGCTCAATTTGATAGCACGCTTCGGGAAACGAATCGCGGCGATTGGATTAGAGGCTGTTCTTGGCCACGTCACGAGATTTCCGAAATTGGTGTTTCTACCCGTGTTTCTTTCTGTCCAATCAAATAGCCTACATGTCTTAAACTGAAGTCACAGGATAATGCTCCCATCGCATGTGGTCGACTCCACACTAGGCGGTCCAATCAGAAGCTGGAGTTCATGTTGTCGGCGGATTGTTCCGATCCACCACATTCCAGGGTGGCACGTTTGGGACCACATCAGAGCCAACAAGGCAGATTCTCAACCATTGACTGGTTTCATCACATTAGGCGTCGCGACGGCGGGATCCCGACGGACCGCATTCAGGCAGCGCAATGTTTCCTGCAGATCCAATCATGATCTAACACTGTTCTTCTCGAAATTTCGTTCGTTTGCTTAGCCTCCTTGACATTATTGTCAACCGAGCTTAGCTTTCGTTCACTCTAGCGGTTTCACACCATCGTCATCGTTTCACGTCGCCACCAGCCAGCCTGGCATAGATTGCTTGGTTGAATCGCCGAGCGTCATGACGTCTCGCATCTTAGTGAGACGACTTTACCTGCTTACCGTTTTTTTACGTCAGGTACAACAACCAGCGGTTTTTTTTTTTCGTCTTTTGTTCTTTTTTCTTGCATTCATTTCTTTAATCCGTTTACTAACTTCTGCTTGCTCTTCTACTTGCAGTTTGCATGGAGGCTCCTACTCGTACTTTAGAAAGCTTTGGAGGAGTAACGACCTTCGACAGCCTCCCAAGGAGCTGCTAAGGAGCTAAGGAGCAACTACGGAGCTGCTCCTCGACTTAACTACACGGTGAAGGTTGAACGTATCATTCCCACCTCCACAGAGCCTTCCCCCCGGTTCAGGTTCGGTACAGGTTTGGTACAGGTGCGGTACAGGTCCCCTTAAGGTATTTTTTTGGTTGGTAATCGGCTCTGTGGTGCTGTGGTAAGCACCAGCACGTGGATTTCCCGCTTTTGCATAGTCTTTGCTCGTTTCTGAATGCTTGTTTTAATTTCGGTTTACTAACTTCTGCGTTTTTATACTTGCAGGTTGGGCATGGAGGCTCCTGGGCGCCACTTCAGAAGGCATTGGAGGACCAACGGCACCTTCCAAGCTTCACGGCAGCTAAGGAGCAGCTCCCCAACTTACCTTGACGGTGAAGGTTGAACGTATCAACCCCACAGAGCCGCTCCCCTGGTATAGGTGTGGTAAAGGTGAGGTAGGTAAGGTACAGGTCCCCTTGAGGTATTTTTTTTTGTTGGTAATCGGCTCTGTGGTGCTGTGGTAAGCAGCAGCATGTGTTTTTTCCGCTTTTGCATAATCTTTGCCCGTTTTCGCATCCTTTTTTCAATTCGGTTTACTAATAATCTGTGCGTGTTTATACTTGCAGGTTAATTATGGAGGCCATGGGCGCCACTTCAGAAGGCATTTGAAGACCAGCGACCTGCACCTTCCAAGCTTCACGGCAGCAAAGGAGCAGCTCCCCAACTTACCTTGACGGTGAAGGTTGAACGTATCATTCCCACCTCCACAGAGCCTTCCCCCCGGTTCAGGTTCGGTACAGGTTTGGTACAGGTGCGGTACAGGTTCCCTTAAGGTATTTTTTTGGTTGGTAATCGGCTCTGTGGTGCTGTGGTAAGCACCAGCACGTGGATTTCCCGCTTTTGCGTAGTCTTTGCTCGTTTCTGAATGCTTGTTTTAATTTCGGTTTACTAACTTCTGCGTTTTTGTACTTGCAGTTTGGGCATGGAGGCTCCTGGGCGCCACTTCAGAAGGCATTGGAGGACCAACGGCACCTTCCAAGCTTCACGGCAGCAAAGGAGCAGCTCCCCAACTTACCTTGACGGTGAAGGTTGAACGTATCAACCCCACAGAGCCGCTCCCCTGGTATAGGTGTGGTAAAGGTGAGGTAGGTAAGGTACAGGTCCCCTTGAGGTATTTTTTTTTGTTGGTAATCGGCTCTGTGGTGCTGTGGTAAGCAGCAGCATGTGTTTTTTCCGCTTTTGCATAATCTTTGCTCGTTTTCGCATCCTTTTTTAAATTCGGTTTACTAATATGTGCGTTTTTATACTTGCAGGTTAATTATGGAGGCTCATGGGCGCCACTTCAGAAGGCATTTGAAGACCAGCGACCTGCACCTTCCAAGCTTCACGGCAGCTAAGGAGCAGCTCCCCAACTTACCTTGATGGTGAAGGTTGAACGTATCAACCCCACAGAGCCGCTCCCCTGGTATTGGTGTGGTAAAGGTGAGGTAGGTGCGGTACAGGTCCCCTTGAGGTTTTTTTTTGGGTTGGTAATCGGCTCTGTGGTGCTGTGGTAAGCAGCAACACGTTTTTTGCAAGTCTTTGTTCTTTTTTTTCATGCTTTTCTTAATTCTGTTTACTTGTGTTTAAAAATTCAGGTTATATTCAAGGCCTTGTGCCACACTGCTAAGCTTCAAGGCGGGGTGAACGTACCTGCCGACACCACTGGCAGGCGCCTCCTCTCTCTCCACCAGCAGTTAAGTCCCGTCTCTCTGGAATCTACCCATCATGTCCTGCCTTCTGTTGGTAGGTTATTTTGAAATCACTTGATTTTCTAACTTGATTTTCCTGACTTTATGTGGCAGGTTTTCAATCAAGGAATTTCAGCATTCTCAACATCCATTGGAGCACCATGGACTGCTGAGGCGCGTTATTCTCAAGAATGGCAAGATAAGTTGCCTAACCCTTGCCTTTACTGCTTGATTCGTTTGCTGCACAATCCTGTTTTGTTTCCACGCTTGCTGATTCCTTTGCTTTATTCATGTTGTGGCTTCAAGTTAATTTCGTTCACTGACTTGGTTCCTTTTCCTCGTGGCAGGTTCTCTCCAAGGGCTCTCTGCACGCCCATGAAGCTCCAAGTCACTGTGCACTGCTCAACGCCTTCAACTCCCCAACTTCAGATAAGTCTCAGCCCGTAGCGCCTTGTTGGTTTTTGCTGAAACTATTTTATGAGTTCGTGTTCAGCGTTTTGCTTTGACGCATGCTGCCTCCTCCCTGTTTTTTAAAGCCTGGACTAATTTTTTTCCTTTTTTACCATGCAGGTGCCTTCATGGGCATTGGGCAGCAATCATGGCTGTTGGAGGTTTAAGGCAGTGCATGAGAGGGGGTGAAGCTTTGAGCATTGGCTGGGGACTCGATTCCGGGCCAAACCGGACTGGTTCTGTCCCCCTCCTCCCACGCCACGTGACAAAGCTGTCTGGCCAGCAGTGATGTCATGTGGTGTGGGCGGGGGTGAGCAGAGCCAGTCCCTAGTAGGGCACCCGCACGTCTTGGTCCTGGCAATGCTCAAGGCTCAGCGTTCCTCTCTGCCTGTGCAGTTCACTGCCAGTCCATGCCGGGGTGGGCACGGATGGCATGCATGGATAGTAGTCCCTGGAGGGCTTATGATGAACACGTGGTTCACAAGATGATCTCCAGGAAGGATACTACTGGGATTATACAGCTTGTTACTGTATGATGTC